ATGTAACAGTGCAGTATCAAGAAATTTTTTAAAAAAATCTAAAACCATATTGCCAAATTAAATTAAGCAAAAATTGATGATATGATTAAATATTAGTGCTAAAAAATGAACGCTCCAATTATTAGTCTACCCTGCAGGGTGGACAAAATTAAAATCCCTAAGTACCTGTCTTCCTGGGTGTACCAAAGCCAATGAGTAGCATTATAATCCAAGCAGTTTCTTTAGTAGATGGAAAGTCAATGCCGCTCGGAAAGCTGTTCATTCACAACTCTATAAGGCTAATCTGTTTATTGACAAAAATTATTAACACAATAATTTCAATGAACTAACCCACTATTATCTTTGGGGCTCCAAATGTGTTCAACTGCTAAGCAACCCTTCATCAACTCAGATCTGGAAAAGTGTAGGCAAAGATTTGAAGCCAACTTGAAGAAGATGCTATTATTAGGGGTTGATTGAAATAACAGATACCGACCATTGTGACTAGATAATGCATCGATTGCAGTTACTCATTGTCATGAGACATACTTTCCAAGCTTCCATTAACAATTGGACATTCATGGAAGAATGCTTACCTTTCAAAACACTGCGTTTTTCATTATAATCTAAATTACATATAAATCATTAATGGTTGACACGTGAATTTAATAACATGCTTAAAACGCAGCAGACAAAGAATTGACTGTATAAAGCACTAGAAGCATTCCCAGAAAAACAATTTCAAGACTCCTAATAAAATATAATCCTTCAACCAGTATTTGCTCCACAATAATCACTTCAAGGCTAATAGCCTTTATTACATGTGCTAACGTCGCTTCAACTAACTCAGAACCAGGCAAGAGGTTAAGGCAACAAAAAAGTCAAGAGTTACTCTGTTTCCATTGCAAGTGTTGAAATGAACAAGCCTAAAAGACCAAAGGAGGGTATAGTGGTCATTTTGTGTCCAACTTTATAAACCCTTTCCCTGTCATAGCTTGTATGTGTCCTACTTGTTCCCAAATTGTAAATGCAAAAATAAATGAGTGAGTGATTGATGGAAGAAGTCTGGACCTCAAAACTTGACCTTGGTAATGAGTCCAAACCCAAAGTTTGGCTGCTAAATAAGTACATCTTCCATATAACATATGGATCCTTATTTCATCTAATAGTGGACTCAACTATGCTCTACTTTCAGAAGTTAGCTTGAATCGTCCATTCTAAAAAGAAGCCTTAATTATTTAGGGGATTCTGGAAATACATCATCCAAGCATCCCTATAATTCCACCTTTTCTCATCAGCAATCCAGATCCGGCAAGCACTTTAATGAGAAATTGAGACCGTGGCTGCTTCTTTGTATAACTTTCTCACAATAGTGTGTTAATGGGTACTTTCATAGTCTTCTGAATGCGGAAGCAATTTATTGATTATGGACTCCAAGCTTGTGAAGGTGAATCATAAACGATTTGGGGCAACAGAAGAGGGTGGGGGTCCATAAGAGAAAAGAAAGGCCTTTTCTATAAGCTTAAATGCTTTGTTTATGAGGGTGTGAGAAACAAAACTTTACAGATCCGGCATTCATGTTGTAGACGAGACCGTGGGGACAACTAATTTACTACGATTTCATCACTGCCAACTTTAGCTTTGAATAGGTCCAACATAAGAGTAAATAGCCCTAATAAATGTACACCATAATATTTGTAAAAAAAGATACAAGTCCACACATGCAATTTCTTTTCGAAATAAAAGAGATGGATCAAAGGCACAATAAAGAAACAAGAAAATGAAGGTGGAAGGATCCGTCACCTCACCTCTGGTTTCCCTGATCCTGCATACTGAGTTGTCTAACAGCTTAGAATATTAGGATCTGGAGTCGTTGCCTTGAGCTCAGCTATTCCCCTCCTCTACAATTAACCAAACAAATCATAACCAGCATTATATGTGTAAATCAACACTAAAGGAAGAGTAAAATACATGATCATTGATGTACACTGCTGAACTTAGCAAAAAGCTGAGCACAGCAGATAATAAGAATTCATAGAAATGAGATAATTCAGTCATTAATAGTTACTTAAATTGAGATTTACAAGCGAGTAACAGATAGATGAATATTGTGGTGTTTAAAGGCACATTTTGGGTATTGGATATTTCTTTGCCTATCCTTTCATTTATTTCTGTCCTAGTTGCTGATATACTCTGCAACATTGTCATTGTCAAAACTTGAATGCTTTTGACAGGCTGTTTCGTGTCTTACATCCACACAAAACTTCTAAATTTAAACTACAGTAAATTCAAGGCATCAGCATAAATGTTTTGATATTCATTGCACAGGCAGATGAGCAATTGTGCTGTACAACCATTGGTTCATGTGAATAGGATATGATTAGAACTAGAAAGAGGGTATCGATTCACCAAATCCCATCTGTTGTTCTTGGTGGCACCATAGAATCAGTAATCTACTAATAAATACATCGAAACAATTGCCAAAAACATCTTCCAAAGTTCAAGTTAAAGATCTTCCATCAATGAGAATACGAATGTCGAATACCAAAATATCAATTGCAAAACATTCCCAGAATTTCAGATCTTAATCCAAACAAATCAGCGAAGAAAAACATTAATTAAAAACAAAATTAGTAAATTCGACTTCAATTCAAAGATCAGGGTTTCTTGACTACCTCTTTGATTTTGCCGCCCAGGTTGATCGCGATGAGTTCTACGGGCTGGTCTCGATGGCGCGCAAAGTTAGTTCAGAATCAGAATGAAGTTGCAATCTAACGACTTTGGGTTGGAGGAATTTAATTTGGCCCATTTATTATTTAAATGGGCCCTAGCCGAATAGCCCAATATCATTATTAAAAAAAAAATCATAAAATATTAACTTACGAAATTTCCTTTCCTAGTATCAACTGATTTCATTAAATTCAACTATAAATGAGTGGTGAAAAAAAATATTTAAATTAATTTAATTAAAATATTTTATAAGCATAAATTAATAATATAGAACTACGGTTTATGGTTTATGGTAAGTAAGAAAAATGGCGTTCGTATCTAAGTTATAACCTCATACATACATAAATATATATATATATATATAATAGTTCAAGTTCACTGTTAACAGATATTGAGTTTTCCACGCCCTTGTAAACAATGCTTTGTTTTCATTCCATTTCCATCTTCGTTCCAACCTTCAATTTCAATTTTCATTTTTACTTAGGGACAAAAGATTCATAATTACCAAAATTGCAAAAGAGTCCTTACAAATTTGTTGGTTTACATTCTGGCACGTATAAGTGAAAAAATAGCAAATGCTACCATTGAGCTAAAGCCAAATCGTGAACTTTCCTTCTCCCATCGCAAATATATGCAAAAAGAAAAATTAAGAAAAGATTATTTGACATTTATAGTTTTTCCATCATTGCCCTTTAATTATTATTATTTTTTTTCATTTTAAAAAAAGGATTACCCTTTTAATTTTCGTACTTATTTCAATGGGGTAATTAATAGATATGAAGTACGTATACATTTTAGGAGCTACCCATTTATGGTATTTAGCAATTAATCTTGCTGGAGAGAGTTTTTCACACCCTTATAAATAATGTTTCATTCTCCTGCTCAACTGATGTGAGATTTCACATTAGGCATCGCCTAAAGATTTTTAAAACGCCCACTAGAGACAGATTTATATACCCTTATAAAAAAAATGTTTCGTTATCTTTCTCAACCGATGTCGGATTTCAAAATCTACCTCCTTTAAGGCCAGCATCTTTACTGACAATTGTTTTTCTCTCTAACTGATGTGTGATGTCACGTAACTTCTCTAATAGTAATGATTGAAATTCATATGCAAATGTTTGTTTTGTGTGAAGACAAAAGAGGAGAATAATCGTTAGAGTGAGGCAGCTGTTTTGAGAATGAGATAATTATTTGATTTTTTCTATTTTTTCTAATTTTCGTAAAATAAAATTCTATTTTTAAAATTTTAAATCTTTAAAAGGAAAAAAATTAATCACAGACGTAAAGATTTGTGTATTAAAAACCAGCGTCATAAAATACAACCTCCAAAAATATCCATCTCCATCCCTAAAATAAAAAAAATAATTAAAAAAAAAAAAGCTTAGCCGACTTCCATTCAGATATTTTTCCAATCTAAAATATTATATTATATTATATTAAAAATTTAAAATAATAAATAAATAATTATCAAATAGTACAATTTTCACTTTAAATAGAATTGATTATTTCCGGCTTTGCAATAAGTAATAAAGAGATTGTCTCAAATTGATTAAAAATAAATATAATATTTAATAAAATTATTTCGTAACACCCATTTATCCGTACAATACTCTTAAAATAATAATAATTAAAATGCATATTTATTATATTTAGTACAAATACTTTATTTTCGTCCACGAATATTTTGAAACTACATCACTTTTAAAATGTGTACTAAAAAATAACAAAAATTCTCTCTCATTCATATTGAAAAATTCCAATCCTAAATTAATAATTAAAAAAAAATCTACACCTTCATAAATATCAAGTTGTAACGATTATTATTATTTTATTTTAATAAAAAACCAAGTTGTATATAGTTATTTAGAAAGCTTAGGAAGATGTAATTAATACCCTTCATTAAGGACACTTTAATACGCTTAATATACCTAATTATTCGTTAAGGAGATTTAAATATATACAAAAATTAAATTACTCCAAAAATAATAATAATGGATTAACAATAATTTGTATTTTCTTTTTAAATATAAAGAAATTACGTGCCTAAATGTAGTCTTTCTATGTACACTTTTTCACTCGGATTCTTTAAGACTTTTAATACTATACAACTTTATATTTAGTTAATAAGGTAATATTTTTCATTGCTAAAAAGATATTCTAGCATTATACATTGCCCAGATGTCATATCCCGAAGCTATCACAAAAGTAAAACATATTAGATTCGTGCATATTTTCAAAGTCGATGTTTTGAACAAGCTGACAAAGCAAAAGGAGCGAATAAAGTTAAGAGATGTATATCGTGAACGAATCTTTGTTATCAAAGTTTAGTTAATAAAAAAATTCCAAGTCTATTAGTGGAGTACCGTGTCAAAATCACTTCGACAGTCAAAGTTAAAAAGAGATTCGAATTTATGAATCATGGTATACATGTAAAACGTATTGAGATTTGTATATACAAATATATTTGGATCAAACTGAAACTTGCAACTGAGACGAACTAGCAACAAAAACCTAAATATAAACTATGATCCCCCAATGAATGATTGGAATGATTGGGAGGGAAAAAGAATTGAGAATGAAGAAACTATCAATAGTTCCAAAGATTTTCAAGGTCAATTGGATCATCAGCTGATGATGGGTCATGAGGATCTTCCTCCATCATTCCAATTCCATGGCTAAATACTTGATTATTAGTATTATTATTATTGTAATGTAAACCACTCCCGCCGCCGGTTTGATTCTCCAGCAACATTTTCACGATGGAATTTCCGGGATGCCAACCGGAATCTGGCGGCGGGTTCGGGTAAGAGAACGGCGGCAGGGAGTTGGTGTTGTAAAGCATGTCGGCGTTGGTGTAGGGTTTTGTTTCGTCAAGTAATGGATTGTTGGAGAAGCAGGTCACGCGCGATGCACGTGCGTCATAGGTGTACGGCATTTGCGAATGGGAATATTCCATCAGCGGTGGAAGAGCGGGTGAGTTGCCGTTGCCGTTGCCGTCGGAGATATGCTTGTGTGGTAGCAACTCGGAGATATGCGTGCGCTTGTCCCCAGAGCTCTTGTAGAAGATTCGGCAAATCACCCATTCAGTCTGGGAATTCAAAAGATGAAATAAGTGAATAAAGAGGGGTGAAAGTGCAATAAATTAAGGGAGAGGGACGAAAAGAAAAACCTTTATGGGCTTGAGAAGATGAGGGGAAAGTGGGGATCTGCCTTCGAGACGGTACTCGTGCATAACCCAATTGGATTTCTCTCCTTTTGGGGCTCTTCCTCTGTAAAAAACCAATGTTTTCTTCATACCCACAATTCTTTTACCTCTCAAAATCTCCTTGTCTTTCCCAGTGGCCTTCCAGTACCCTGACTCCGTCGCCCTGTTGGTTCTCATCCCAGTTGGGTATTTCCTGTCCTTAATACAGAAAAAATACCACTCCTTTTCCCCCATTTTTGCCTTCCCTGTAACATTCAAAAAAGGGTAAAAATCGTGTGCTTGGGATGAATGAATTAATGAATGAATGAATCTAGTTTACCAGGCAATTCCCAGGGCTCGGATTTGTTCAAATCGGCCTCGCCGATGGCGACGGCGCTGAAATTGGCGTCGAGGACTTTGGGGGTGAGGTAGTGGGTGACTAGCTCCTCGTCCGTGGGATGGAAGCGGAAGCCCGGCGGCAATTCGATGTGGTCTTCTTCTCCGGCGTGGTTCTGATTGGGATTCCTCATGGCAGAATGGTTTTGCATTTGTAACAGAGGAAGGGGTTTTTGTTGAATAAAGAGGTAGAAGAGAAGCCATGGTCTAACACCCGAAGAAGCCTTAATATAGGCCCCTTGCTCAACCAAGAAACGTGTTGCCTAAGCTAAACTATGGTGGATTTTTTCAATGTTTTGTTGTTTTCTTTTAGTTTTATATTGTCATCATCACCATCGTCATCACATGCCCTCTTTCTTTATTTCTACTATACTCTTAATTTTGTCACACATATTCCTTTCAACACCATGCTTTTCGTCTCTACATTCAATTTTTTTTAAAAAAAAGCTTTGTTTAATTTACAAATTTTGTATTTCCAACCCCCCTTTTCGATGCTCAACGTCCTTGTTGGCACGAACACGACTCTCCACAATGGTATGATATTGTCCACATTGAACATAAGCTCTCATGGTTTTGCTTTGGGCTTCCCCAAAAGGTCTCATACCAACGGAATTAATATTCCTCACTTATAAACCCATGATCATTTCCTAAATTAGTCGATGTGGGACTTTCATCATCCAACACCACTGTCCTCGCTTGCACACCGCCTGCTATCCACCCCCTTTCGATACTCACTGTCCTTGCTAGCAAATACTGTCATATTTGAACTTTTCCTTTTAAGATTATACTCAAGGTTTTTAAAACACGTCTGAGAGAGGTTTCCACACCCCTATAAATAATGTTTCATTTTCGTCACGAAGGACGTGGAATCTCATATTATTATTATTATATTAAAAAAAAAAATCAAGTTGGAATCTTGTTTAAAATATTGTCAACTATTTCAAATTGAGATAAATTAAAAAAAAGTGTAGACCACTTAATTATGTGTCAAAAATAGAATTTAATTTATGAAATTAAAAGAAACAACTAAACATATAAATTAAAATCATGTGTATAATTTTGTAAATTATAAAGTTTGTTCATAAAAAAGTAAAAATAAATAAATAAATAATTATTGTGATGAGATTGGTGAATAGGTGAAGACGCAGAGTATAAGGCAATCAAAGTCATGGTGTTAGTTATTATTTAATTTATAAAAATAAAGTCATACGCGGTTTAAATTCATATTCAATGACTGTGTGTAGAAATTGACTTTTTTTTCTTTTTTTAATATTATGGGCAAAAATAAAACCAATAAGCAATGTTATTATATACGCACAAAAATTATTTTTCACAAAGACATTCACCTTCGTATTTTCACCTAAAAATAATTATAATTTCGTATTTATTTTAATTTTGAAAGCCAAAGAAATTAAAAATATCTCATATATATATAAACATTAGGGACTTTATTTCATGCATGTGACAACATTTGGCATCATGTTTGGTCACATGCAAAATGATATGACCAATGATTGAGTCTGATTTTATTTTTTTGAAACTCGAGTTACTATTTATTAATTAGACTACAAAATCAATTCATTTTTTAAATAATAATAATAATAATATGAAAATAAATATATTTGTGTGCAATTCACCCACCAATTCTATTAACTCTATTCATATTTAAAATTAATGAAATAAAATTTTAATTTTAGAATTATGATCAACAATTTTATTGGTATGCAATTATAAATAACGTAGTCACATTTATAGCGTGTTCTTTTGGACTAGATAGCAAATCACTTATCACATTTTTAGTTTCGTTATTTTTCTTTAGACGTGTAGGTATGTAGGATTGTCTTATAAGTTTTGCTAAAAGGATATCAAACACGATTAATTTAAAAAACGTGAAATTAAATTAAAATAAGCATCATATTATAAAATAAATTTTAGTTAAATGACAAATTATTTATATATGCATAAAGAAACTGTTTTTTGGTAGCGTGCTCAAATGAATAATCTTAAGCACGCCAAATTAAAATTAATTTAAAATTAATTTCCCAACCTAAAGATCAGACGGTTAAAAATGAATAACCAGGTTTTCGTTAGATCTGCCGCCATAAAGATATAGTAAAAAAAAAATAATAAAATATGCCGGCTCAGCATCCACTTGGCAGACTCTCATTGGTCATTTCGCAAAATAGTAGACCAAACAACGTTGACCAATTACGAAACACCTATCTTCAATTCAATGTGGGACCCTGCTTCTTTCTTCCCGACAAGATCCACCGGGAGGAGACACTGACGTGGCACAATGTAATTGGCAGGAAAGTATTAAAGTCCAAGACTTGAGTGGATTTGATCAAAAGTTAGGCTTTTTTTTTTTTTTTTCTTTTTGAAAATAAAAAATAAAAATAATAAAACGTTAGGTTACGTAATTAGATTAGATTAATTATTGGAATTATATAAAAGGTTAGCTATGGACTTGGGAAATTTGGTGAATCAAAACGGCGTTGAAGATAAACACAAAGCTCAGTATTTATTATTAAAATATTAAGGATATTAAATTAAAAATGTATAAACCCTCGTGTCAAATTATAGACAGCCAGCTTGTGTTCACATTTGCCACAACGTCCAAAATTAAAATACTTAAAAAAAAGAAAAAAAAAATTCCAATTCAATTCAATTACGTAAATTAATTTGTTCAAACAAATAATATATGATTTTAATACACTGCCTACCATAAACTTCCCTTACAATTAACAAACATTAGTTTTTAAGTACGTTTATTAATTATTAACATAATTCTTAAATTATAATTATTTATTTTTATTATGTTCTTACTTTCGAAAATTAAATAGATCTCCACGTTGGTATGAAAGTAATATTCCTTATTTAATCCAACGTATACAAATTTTTGGAATGTATTTATGAACATATACAAATGTTAGCTAACTTCTAATAGAGGGTAGAGTTAGATACTATATATTTGGGTGGCCAATAAATAATGTTGTATAAATATAATAAAGTTATTGGTAGGTGTACCAAGAACATCCCATCCCAACTAAATTTGAATAATTTTAAGATTCTCAATTTACTAAACAAAAAAGGAAAAATAATTATGATGGTTATAAATTATTAATAGTATGGTTAGATTAAATGATATAAAATAAGAGTGTTATGATTAAAATATTTCATAAGTTTATGGGGCCATGTCTCCAAATAGATCACCAAATCTTCTCGTGATTTTCATTAGAATATTAGATAATATAAACCCAATAAAATAACAAAATACATTTTTTTGTTGGCAAAAGTATTGGTTGATAACTTAAGTTATGTTATCAATATAGATTGTGTTGGACTTTTTGAAACCACAATAACTATAAGGTGGCAAATATTAATTATTAAAAGGATAAAAGTCGAATTACATATATTAACCTAATATATTCCATAATGAGACAAAGAAAATAAAATTAATAAGCTGGTAAAACTTTATATTATACGATAGGACAAACAAAAAGTATTGGGAGTGTGTCATTTAAATAATGTAATTCTCTAAAGTCAATGAAAATATAGTTGCTGTAGGATAATGTTTTTAAAAAACGTATGAGTTTGGCCCATGTGTATCGCCTAGTCACTGCCACTTTGGCATTTAATTTAATTTAATTTATTTTATTTTATTCAAACAAATATGATCAGTTATTATGGGAATGGTGTATTTAAATGTTGGATTATTATTTTGCAACATAAACCCTTGACTTTGGTAATAATTACAACTGGACCTCGTATTCATAAATATGACGTCACATGGCATACACTTATTCAACCACATCATTGAGAATAAATGGCATTAAAATATGAGGCAGTTTGTTACTATTTATTACTTACTTTATTAACAATTGGGTAAAGATATTATTAATTATTCATTTAATGGAATACATGGGATCATCTTCAAGGTTTCATTTCGATGTTACCCAGAAACCAATTATTATTTTAAGGTTAAATAATGTTTTTTTAATTCCTTTCATACAACCATACAAGATTGGAATTTGTATTTAAATGTCACATATTTGTATTAAATTTTTTACATAAATATTTAATTTTTAATTTTTATATCTAATTAATCTGTTGGTGTGAAATGTTGGCTATATTATTCAACGATTATATTTGAAATAATATATAATTAATATGTTACGTAAGCTTATTCGACCTAAATTTCATCAAATCGTTGTTACGGATTATTAGTTCAGACAATTTTAATATATATATTAAAGAATCAATAATTCTAATAAAAATAATAATAAATTAAAATTGATTAACGTTATTTATTTGACTTTATCAAAGTTTAAATATTTTTCAAAAACATTTTTATAAATTATCCCTTTTTTTCAAAAGGATCACAAGCACACGCAATGAGAATCCTTCATAAATTTAAATATATATATTAAAAGAAACCCACAAATACATGCATAAGTACGTATATATACATATGTGTATATATATATATATATATATAGTTTTTTCTTGGCCTCCTTAAAATTAATATAATTTCAAATTATATACTTAAAAATTAAAATGTAAAATTTTGATTTCATCCTTCAGGTTTTCATCACAATTTTTGGCTTATATTTAAAATAAATAAATAAAAATTATAATTATTTATGACGGTTGAGTTGATCTATACATACAAATAATCGATTAATTTATACTTGATTTTAGTGATCATTATATAAGCATGTACGTAAACGGTGTTTATAAAAATAAATAGATACTTTTGCCAATTAGATAAATCAAGTTAATACGGATCTATTTTATGTAGTTGACATTGCAATATGGTTTTTTTTTTTTTTTTTTTTTTTCAATTTGGATGGAGTCACTTAACAACCAAAAGGAAACTTAATTTGTGAAGTTAATGTATTTGTTTATAATTAAATTGTATAATTAATTTAAATCGTTTTATGGGGACGTAAAGAAAAAATGTCATAATAAAATATCGTTTGGAATTTGGATAGTAATTTAAATCGTCTTATTGTCTCTATTTAATAAGAACATTATTAAATGTTTTTAAAAATAGAAAATATTTTTATTATAAAAAATGAAAGTTTATTGAGAGGTAAAATTGTTTAAAGTTTATAGTAACAATTGCAATATTTTTACAAAATTATGTTTTAGATGGTTTTAAGGAAAAAGATTTCCGTTTTGACCTGCCTCAAATTTAAGTACCTTAATTTTCGTTAAAATTTTAAAATTATTCGAGGGTCATGTAAAAGCCTAAGTTCACTACTAACAAATATGATCTGTTTTAATTTGTTATGTATCGTCGTCAGCTTCACGGTAAAATGTGTCTATTACGGAGAGGTTTTCATACTCTTATAATGAATGTTTCATACCCCTTTCCAATTAATGTGAGATCTCACAAGCCACTCTCTTAGATCTAGCATTCTCACTAGCACATCGCTTGGTGTATGACTTTAATACCAACCGTCTAAGTCTATCACTAGTAGATATTGTCCACTTTGACTCGTTATGTAACGTTGTCAACCTCATAGTTTTGAAATTTGTCTTTTATGGAGAGGGTTTACCCCTTCTCCAACCAGTGTTTAGCATCGTCCCGTAACTTGACTCTAATACTATTTGTAACAACTCAAATCTAGTGATATTATCCGCTTTTGCTCCTTACTTATAGTTGTCAACCTTAAATTTTAAAACGTGTCTTCCAAAAAGAGGTTTCCACCCCTTCGCAATGTTTGGTTCCTCTTGGACCAATTTTTTCTCTCTCTCTCTTAATCTTTAAATAGTAAAATAAAAAATAAAAAAAAAACCTAAATTATTGATAAATACAAAAAGTGACATAAATATGAATAATGTAGTGCGAGAACTGCATGAAACCCAAATTCCAAATCCAACTATTGCCCCTCGTCTCAACACACTCTTTTGATGATCCGAAAGAGAACAAATGATAATGTTAGCTCCAACCGCTTTCAACGCTCTAGCTTATGGCAGAAATGCACCAATTTTCGTACTTTGAAGCAACTTCATGCTTTTTTGGTCGTCAATGGCTTTAATTCAAGCCCCTCTGCCCTCAGAGAACTTATTTTCCTCAGTGCTATAGCTGTTTCTGGAACAATGCACTATGCCCATCAAGTGTTTGCTCAAATTACTGAACCGGATATCTTCATGTGGAACACCATGATCAGGGGTTCGGCTCAGAGTCTGGCGCCTGCAAGCGCTGTTTCTCTTTACGCCCAGATGGAAAATCGTGGGGTTAAGCCTGATAAATTTACCTTCTCCTTTGTTCTCAAGGCATGTACTAAACTTTCTTGGGTTAAGTTAGGATTTGGGATTCATGGGAAGGTTGTGAAGTTTGGGTTTCAATCCAATACATTTGTAAGGAATACTCTTATTTACTTTCATGCTAACTGTGGCGATTTGAGCACTGCAAGAGCACTTTTTGATGCCTCTGCTAAAAGGGATGTTGTGCCTTGGTCAGCTTTGACAGCAGGGTATGCAAGAAGAGGGGAATTGGATGTTGCACGACAACTGTTTGATGAAATGCCAATAAGAGACTTGGTCTCGTGGAATGTGATGATAACGGCATATGCAAAGCTCGGGGCAATGGAGAAGGCAAGGAAACTGTTTGATGAAGCTCCGAACAAAGATGTCGTCACGTGGAATGCAATGATTGCCGGATACGTTCTATCGGGATTGAACAGGGAAGCTCTGGAGATGTTTGATGCAATGAGAGATGTGGGACAAAGGCCAGACGATGTGACAATGTTGAGTATCTTATCTGCTACTGCTGATTTGGGAGACTTGGAAGTTGGAAAGAAGATATACCGTTCCATTTTCGATATGTATTGTGGAGATATAAGTGTGCTTCTTGGTAATGCACTTATAGACATGTATGCCAAGTGTGGAAGCATTGAGAATGCTCTGGACGTGTTCCGAGCGATGAGAGATAAAGATACCTCCTCATGGAATTCAATAATAGGAGGATTGGCTTTTCATGGACATGCCAAGGAATCCATAAATCTGTTTCAAGAAATGCTCAGGTTGAAAATCAGGCCAAATGAGATCACTTTTGTTGGTGTGTTGGTTGCTTGTAGTCATGCAGGGAAAGTACAAGAAGGGCGTATGTATTTTAATCTCATGAGAGACTCGTATAAAATTGAGCCGAACATCAAGCATTACGGATGTATGGTTGACATCTTGGGGCGAGCTGGGTTATTGATTGAAGCATTTGATTTTATAGACACAATGGAGATTGAACCTAATGCCATCATTTGGAGAACACTGCTAGGGGCTTGTAGAGTACATGGAGATGTCGAGTTGGGAAGGCGTGCCAACGAGCAATTACTCAAAATGAGGAAGGATGAGAGTGGGGATTATGTACTCCTATCTAACATATATGCATCAAAAGGTGAGTGGGATGGTGTCGAGAAAGTACGAAAGTTGATGGATGATGGTGGGGTGAAGAAGGAGGCAGGTCGTAGTATGATCGATGCAGATAATAGCTTTCTAATGAATTTTTTGTTCGACTCAAAGCTAAAGTTCGTCAAAGAAAGTAGTTAACTTTGCGTTGCTATGCTCTCATCTTTCGTGTATTTTCTCTCGGTCATGAAGGACCGAAGGCACAATGTGCATTCTGTTCCAATAGCCACAAGCTCTCATGGCTTTTGCTTTTGGTTTCTCCAAAAGACTTCGTACCAATGGAGATGTATTCCTTACTTATAAATCCATGATCAACCCCTTAATTAGCCGATGTAGGACTCATTTCTCAACAATCCTCAACATGGATTATACTCTCCCTTGGTCTTTACATGATTTTTATATTGATAGGAGTGTTACCATGTTTTCCTGTTGAAGTCTATCTGCATTGTGTTGGGCGAGCTGAGAGATATAATAATACTCATACGGTTTTCATTGATTACATCAACTTGGTAGAAATCACAATACATACACACACTGACAGATTGGAGCTCTAGTCATTTTGTAGCACACTCAAATTCATATATGCATTAGTATTTGCAGATAAAAAGATCATGATGCAGTTCTCACAAACTACTTTCAACGACGACGATGAGACAGTGCAACACCGGACAGGAAGATCATAACCAAAAACAGAATAATTGCTGCAAAAGATCCGATCAAAGAGCCTGAGATTCGCTCACAGAAAGAGTTGAACTGTTGGCAGACGGCTAGCCAATTTGTCTTGGCATTTCCTTTGTGTGCTAAGTATACAATGGCCGCCGCTGCAGATGCCCCAGATGTCAAAAGAGCCATCATTCCCTGTTCACAATTGTACAAATTACAAGTAAGCGAACATGGTCCACTTTTCTTTCTTTGTTTGAATTACTGCCTAAGTTTTCTTAAGCTGATTGAAGTTCATACAGATAAAAGGAAGTACCCCATCTAAGAAGACCAGCAGAACCCTTGTGCCATGCGCTCTGTTCCTCAGGATGTGGAATATAGAAAAAGGTAGAGAAAGAACCAAGTAGCCACTTACAATGGCGTTGGCTACAACAAAGAAGCTGCTCAAACACCCAAAAGAGGTTAGTAAATCATTGAGTCAGTCTTTGAAATATAAAGTAGTTATTTATGACATACGTAAACATAGGGATATCATTATACTCAGCTCTGAACTGAATAAACTGTGTGACAAACGGAAGAGTCTGGTTGGTGGTTCCCATAGCTATTGCACTTCCTAATGTTCCAACAATGGCAGCCAACCTTAGGATGAAGTCGAGTATCGACAAACCTCGGTTCACCCCTGGTTTGGTTTTGGAGCTCTTTAGCTCACTTGACTCGCTCATAGTTGCCTTCATCTTTTTTTGGAAGCTTTGAGAGGGGGTTTGTTTAGGACGCTCAATGTGCATGGCTGAGTAGTGTGCACCAAGGATCTATTAATATGCAATACAAAGGCTATGCAATGTTGTTTTGGTGAAGTTTAGTGGCGAAAGAGCCCACAGGAGAGCATAACAACTCCACTCCACAAAGAGGGGGAACTTAGGGATAATCTACTTTAAATTGAAAAGGAAGAAGAAGATATAACATGGGACATTTTTCAAATGTATTTTTGGAAGGACTTCCATTCAATGTTCATCCTCTTCTTCTTAATCATCACCATTCATAACTCAACAGATGTCCTTTGGAGAAGATGAGGGCAGTTGGGAAGTTGGTTTGCAAAAACAAGAACATAAAAAAAAAGGATCAAATTAGGAAAGAAATCGAGGGAAGTTGAGTTGGGTTCAGTTTTGTGATTGCCTCTAGACTCTATCAGAAACAATTCCACTTTGTTCACTTCCTTATTTTTTTATGCAAAATTTTATATTTGTTGGGTGGGAATTGTGTGCTTCACACACTTTCTTTTCTAAGTTCTCTTTTAAGTTCTAAACCATTAGATGTGAATTTTGGTCCTCTTTTTACTTGGAAAGAGTCATTTTTAATTTAGATTAATTCCAGTTCAAAATTTAATTAGGTACATAAGGACATCTTTGAGACCGATTATAAAATGTTTTTTCTTTAAAACTACTTATATGCTTTTAATTATTCAAAATCTCATTTAAATTGTAAAATCAAATACTAAATTGATTTTAAATAATTAAATGCATATTTTGGAGTAAATTGACCTTGACAATTAGTAATCATATTCCAAATAAATTGGAATATCAATTTTTTATCTTTTAAAATTTTCAATTTTGCCCTTAGTAATACAAAAAGTTCTTGATTAGATTTTATTATTATTTTAAATATGCTAACAAAAACTTATCTATACAATTGTCGTTTAATTAACATATTTAGAGATAGTCATGATAGTGGTTTTGTTGGAGAGCTAAAATTTTGAAAATATGCACTCTCAAATAGCAATTTTAAAACATTAATAATTATCCTAAATATTAGAGGCCACAGAGTACCCAGACCAAATTTTTATTACAAATCAAAATAATTAGTAGGTAGGATATTAAAGTTTTGATTTCATGTTTTCCATTTTGATTGAATCTGTTTTTTCTTAATCAAAAGGGAATACCAAGTAAATACATGAGAGCTTACAATTTGATTCTGAACCAAGATCTAAAGGAGAAATTTCAATTTGAAGGCCAGCCTTTACTCCATTGTAATCTGCCAACTGGAATTGAGAAAAATGGAACATATTATATCTGTACCAAATTTTTATTTCAATTAATAAAACCAATTTGTACAAATTCTTCAAAACATTAAGTAGCTAACAAAACCAATTAGGGTGTTCAACTTGATCAATAGCCACAACCTCTCAGAAAACCCAAGTGTGGGAACATTTGCCTTAATATAGAAGTAGGTTACAATACTAAAGGCTATTGTTTCATACTGACCATATGCACATTAGAAATTGTAACGCAATATTATTCATTATAATGAATTCTAAATTTCGAACAATAAAACATTGAAATAATTCTATTGAAAAAAAAAATACAGATTCTTACCCATTTAACTTCAGTCTCAATTCAATCAACATATAATTCTATCCATGATTCTATCCATCAGCTCTGAATTAATCTTCGAATTGATTGTAGACAGGCCATGTTAAGTCTCTGTCCCCAAGAAGCAACCATCTACCTTGAAGACGACTCTAAAAGATCAAAAGAACTCAGTTTTGTTCCGAATACTGACAATCTGTAGTACTGACGAAGTTTACCTAACCTTTATTTTCTAAAGGATTAAAATCCAGTTACATTCAGCAACAGCTAATACTAGCCATGAGACCAGCACGGTTCTTACAACAGTTCTAGCTACAACAGAAGTTTCCATGTTAGCATAGACCATGTCCAAGGTCAGAGAATGTTATGTCCTTCCATAGAAGAAGAGGTGCTTTTTTGCGAGTAACCCAGTACATAGATACGTTAACAAAAGATAACAGTCCTTTGAAGATAAAGTACTGTATATCCAATATGAAATTAGAACACAGAAAAAAGAAAACAAAATGCATGGCATAAGATAGCCTGACAGACAGTATAAGCAATAAAAAAAGCAATGCATTCTCAAACTATAACTGCTCTTACCTTTACCCAGTCAAGTATAGAATAAGACACCGGCTTGGCATAATATAGCCTTCCACTTTATGGAAAAACTAAAACAGCATGTTTTAGCGTGGCTATAAGAGGTAAAGGTTGTCGTGTGTTGTTGTGGAACGATGGTATAAATATCTGCCCTGCCGTACTTCAAATGGCAGAATGATGTTGAAATAAAAAATCAAGTCTGGTGGTGAAAACTAAAGGGTTTTTACAGAAGCTTAGAAATGGACAAAAGAGATCATAAAAGATGTATGGCAGGTTTCGACAAGCTATGCAACAAGTTATTTCATTCAAAGGATCGAATACATCTTTAAGCCACATATTATTTCCAATTTCACAAAGTTCAATAGCTATATCTTGAAGAACTATAAAACGATCTGACCTCTTTTGTTATGCTCATTCCATATTCTGAAACAACACTGTTGGGACTTGATAATTTTTTTTTTTTTTTTTTTTCAAATAACCCGGCATTAGGGACCTCAACCCAGTAATCTAGAGGCACACCCCAGCCCACTTCCAGGCCTAGACCAAAAAGACATCAAAGGTTTTTCTTATTAAGTTCACTCAAAGGATCAAACACGCTACCCCTGAGTAGAGTACTCTTGCTACTAAATAAGAAAACCCTTTCTTTTTTTCAGAAATTAATAAGTCTAAAGTAGGGATGTTATATCGCCATAAAAATGAATGACTGTTGGGTGCAAGAGAGCAGGGTATGACACTTAATCCCTGCACAATTCAGGTGAACGATGCAGATATGGGCTGCAATCCATGGTAAAAAAGAATAGAAAAGAAAAAAGAAAAGGAACTTCCTTGACATCGTGAATTATAAACAAATCTTATAGTAGTAAAACCACACAAAACGAAAACTCCACGGGTGTCCATTGCGGAAGTAAACATGGTTTCATAGTTCAATATTTGTGCAGGAAAAAACAACAAAAAAACCCAGGAATTTTGGCTAGTAGGTTCTTAGGAGCTCAAGATTTTATTCATGGTCATCTTGGTGTGTGGACGAGTTAGAATTAAGAGTCAACAAGATCTTCAGGCATAGTCCGACTAAAGGTAGCATCAAGGTGGGCCATGAATATGTCAAACGCTGGTTCATCTGATCTTCAGGTTAAGGCAGTAGGCTGGCCTCAGGCTTCATAAATCTCAGCTGTTTTAATGGGAAGGGAAAGGCAAGGGGAAAATAATTGTATCAGAATTTTGAGCATAGGGAGACCGGATAGCTTATGTTTATCAAACTAACAATTGTCAGTGGTTCTTTGGCTAGCGTTATAGAACAGGTGAAGTTATCTTTTCTTCCATATTTTCTCTCTTTATTCCTACCCCAAGGGAGAAGAGAATAACATACCAGTAAATAATGACTGCCAAGCTAGGAATAATTTCTCCTCCGAGGTTCACTGCCATGTCCAGAAACCCTAAGGAAAAATTAAAATCGATTCATAATGCTTATAAAGATATACACTTTCTATACATGAACTAACTAATGTTATACACTACCTATACATTAACTAATTAAATCTGATCATAATGCTTATAAAGATATGCAAGATTTGACAAAATAATTAATAGGTGCACCAACTGCAGAAGGTCAATCCAAATAATTTTTCCTGCTTTCTAGATTGACAACAAGAAATGGAGATGAAGAGAATAATTTACCCTGAGCTACCACTTCGTCCCATAGAAAAATTTCCATAGGCCCCGTATGCATTACCACCACCACCACCAATCTACAAAGAAAAAGGTTGGCTTTAGTTGCAAATTAGATGTTGGGTCGTTAGATTTTGACCAATAATAAGTTAAATATCAAGATGAAAAATGAATTTATTTTCAATTAAAGGCAGATAGGTGGAAATTTTCAAAACTTTATCTGGCATTATATGTGTCAAGGATAATATACATACCTGTGAACCACTGTAACTTCCATAACCATCACCAGCAGCCAAATCACTGAAACCCCCATAACCACTAGAATAAGAATGTCCACGCCCATGTCTTTTACTATCTCTCCCATCATAATTTAGACTATCTGAACCATCAGCTGATAGGGGAAGATAAGGCAGAACAGGCAGCATAGCAGAGAGAGCACCTTCTCTATCAAAAAGGTTGGCTCTTAGCCTAGTCACTATATGTACAAGAGCCTCCTTGGCGACATCAAGATCCCCAGATATCTAATCATAAAAACAAACCAAATTAACCCAAACCAACCCAAGCCATATGAAACATATGAGTTTATCACGACAAGAAAATGAATATCAATCAATTAACAGTGACTACCTGCACCATTTCATCATCCTCCAAGGCAACCTTAGGAAGGTTCTCTTTTGACAGTATTCGAATATTAGCTTTGGTGAGCCTTCTCAACTCAGTAATGATAGCTCCACCTTTACCAATTAGGCAACCAATTCGTGATGTAGGCACAAGCAGGCGGGTTGTGAATGAAATAATCCCAGAATCTCTTTCTACTTTCTCACTGCATCTTGGTTGCAAGCGCAATGCAGCTTCCAATGTGGGAGAATATGAATCTTCAAAGAACTGAAGCAGTAACAAAGATGTCAGAATTATAATCCACAGCCAACAAAAACAGAGAAATAAAAGATTAGATTAAACCTCCTTAGATGAAATATTAATCAAGCTATCATCTCCTTCAGTAGAACTATCAACTTTTATGGCAGCCTTAGTCTCCTGTCTAATTTGATTGATTACGGCTCCACCTTTTCCAATGACACCTCCAATATTTTCACTTGGACATACCAGTCGGAGAGAAAACTCTTTTGCTGAAGACAATTCTTCTCTTGGAGCTGAATATAAAGACCTGGACCAATTACCACTATCACCTTTATAACCTCCATACGGACCAACCAATGGGGCTAATCCCATTATTGGAGCACCATGTGTGGGAGCCAAAATTGAACCACCAGAAGCATAGACACCAGGTATGGCAGAAGCAAGTAGATGCTGAGATCGTGATGGATTGTCATGCAGTCGAGATGCAATCTGGTACAAGGCTTTCTTCACAATCGAGGGTTCACCAGAAACCTGAAACACATAACTTCAACTAAATAAATACTGTAAAGGAGCAAAAACATTTGGTAAATCCATCCACTTACCTGTACAAGTTCATCAGAATTCAGAGCACAACGTGGCAAATGATCATCCTTAAGAATTCGAACCAGTGCCCCAGTCTCAGTGCGAATATTCTGCACAATCTGTCCACCTTTCCCAATAATACAACCAATTTGATCAGATGGTACAAGAATTCTCGCTGTGACATGGGGACCTCCTCCCTCAGATTCCTCCTCATTTAAGTCATCAGCCACAACTCTATCATGCACTTTAAACAAGGCCTCCTGAGCAGGAGAAACATAATCACTATCTTCCATGGAATTAATCTCATTGCTTGGACTGTAGATAGTTATAACACGCTCATCACATCCAGGCACTGTTTCTCCAATTCTAATCTTTGATTTAGTATCTATCCTTAACTGCTTCACTATCTCCCCTCCTCTTCCAATAACACTACCAATCTTTTTTACAGGGCACAAATACCGGTAAACAGTATCCTCTGGATCTATGACAAACTGGTCTCGGTCATCACCATGACTTCTTCGTCTGTTCCCTCCATTTTCAGCATAATCAGACTGAGAATGGTTCCGTTTTCCATAACTGTTCCTCTGACCAGCCATGGACTGAAAAATTGGTTATATCTGTCTCCACACAAATTTAAAGAAAAAAACTGTATTAAAGCCATGAATTAATACAAAAAATAATTAAGGATAACAAAAAATCTGAACAGCCCAAACATATCTTAGCTAGATCAGAACCTGAACATATATGCTACAACATCATGCGTGCATCGAACACAACACAAGAAAATGATTCAATATGAGATACACATCTTAGCAAACGGCTTGCTCAGTTGTAAGTGAAAAACTCATGTTTCCGGCCAAGGATATGAAAAGAGGACCAGCTATAACAAAAACAAAGACCGTTCCATCTTCATATATCAGTTTTAACATTATTGTTAGCTCACTGCACAACAAAACGGCTGATTTAACAAAACTAAATGGAACAGAAAACAAAAGAAACGAAAAATTAAACGAGATTGTAGCTACTTTTATGACAAAAAAATCGTTCTCTTTCCGCTTTCCGCAGGGATACAATTTATAGCCTTCTACAGGCATCAAGAAGAAACTTTTTTTTTTCCAGAGCAGTGCTCTTGCCAAATTAGAAATAAGAACAGAAAACGAGTTTAGATCTCAACTCGACAGCACAATCAGACGCAGATAGATATAGCAGGACAATGAATACAACCGCATCGCAGAAGTATCGCAAAACTGAGCAACAACAGATGAAACAATTGATAACGAAAACAGAAAATAAAACGGAGGAGGATAGACTTAGAAATTAGAAACGTTAGAAGCAAAATCAAAAGCAACCTGTAGATTGAGGAACAATGAAGAAGAAGGGTAGCAATGTGAGGCGAACACCGACTGTTCGAAATCGATAATTTTTGGGAAACGATCGTTGATTGTCGAGACTTCCTGTGCCGGAGTCTATCTAGGGTTTTGACCCTGGGGACTGATTTTACTCTCTTCAAAATTACTCTCTATGTCCCCCATTATACAACGGAATTCAGATTTTTCACTCCGAATAATAATATCCCGAGAATTTTCTTTTTTACTTTGGGATAAATAAATAAAAGAAAAATACAACCGAATTTTTCTTTTCAAATGCGTATAAAAATATACTCGGTAAGTAGTTGTGTGTCTACCATGTATGTTTAACTTTATAGTATCATGAAAATACTATGTATGGAGACAATTAGGAGATTTTCAACTATTCCTTAGTCGTGAACTTGTATGGACGAGGATAAGAGACCATATGAGTATATGATAGTTAACAAACATGAGGGTCGCTCCCTCCCTGATGATGATGATATTATAGAGCCTATTAGAAAGCCGCCAAGTAATTTTTTATATGGAATTTGTCTAGATTGATAGTGTTCATGATGAAGTGACGCATCGGTGCATATGATATATAAGTTGGTTACGAACAGAAGAACTAGTATAGAGCTAATCGTGTTATCCTAGAACCCTAAGTTTAGCTTGATCAAAGTTATTTTAAATTTTCCGCCAATAGTAGAAGTCATGGCTCGTGACTCGAGAAAATGGGTTGTCACAATTGTAAACAAGTGAAAAATATAAAATGAAAAAACTCACGTTGTTTCTCTAAAATACATAGTTAAAGATCAATCTCAACTATCTGCACTTGCCTAATGTTTCATCGCCAACTTTCCAAACATGGCTACAATGAATATTTGATAGAAAATTAAACAAATCTTTTCTCGAAAAATTTACAATTTTTGTCTAATTTGAAGCGATACATCAATGCGTAACAAATCGATAATATTTAGTCAAAAAATCAATTTTATGACTTCCATTCTAACCATCATAAAACTCAATTTGGCAGTATTTGGTCAAACATGGAAATAATTTATTAATATTTGATCATATATGGAAATAACTTAATAGTCATTTAATCATGATGTCATGGGTCTACTTAGATATCACAATCTATTGGTTTGTACGGTGAACTTTTGAAATACAAAGTTGTTATCAAACAGAGTCTTAATAATAAAAGAGGGTCGTTAATATCTGTCAACGCTGTTGTTCCTCCACCCAAAGTTCCATCTGTCAACTCTGTTGATCCTACACCCAAGGTATCATCCTACAACTCTGTTGTTCCTCCACCCAAAGTACCATCTAGCAACTCTATTGTTCCTTCACCAAAAGTACTATCTGACAACTCTGTTGTTCCTCCACCCAAAGTACCATCTGTCGACTCCGTAATTCCTCCACCCAAAGTTCCATCTGTCGACTCCGTAGTTCCTCCACCCAAAGTATCATCTGGCATACCATCTGTCGACTCCGTAGTTCCTCCACCCAAAGTATCATTTGGCGTACCATCTGTCGACTTCGTAGTTCCTCCACCTAAAGTACCATCGGTCGACTCAGTAGTCCGTCCTCCCAAAGTTCCATCTGTCAACTCAGTTGGCATGTAACAACTTACTTATCTCTAACAAACCCCAACCAAAAACACACTAGAATTTTTCAGCTTCATCCTCTTTTCGAAGTCACATGTAAAACTTTTAATCTTTTCAAGTATGTAATCAACATGCATATAGAAAAGAAATTAAGCTTATGAACTCTCTCTAAGTTACCGTTTTTATGTTCTCTCTTTAGTGCGCAACTCTAATCCATGCCTATGAACCAAGTTGAGTTGATCAACTGATACAATGTCGGACATGTTTTCCTCCCTCATTTCCAACCAACTTTCCTTCGGCAAATAAAAGACAATGGTATGGATAACGTATGATAAAATCATAAAACAAAAAATAAAAACAAAACCATGTATCCAACGTTGTTAAATAACCTAAAGTCGGTCACATTTGAATACAAGTAGTATAATGTCAATATAGTTATAGCTTTAAATGCAACCATATAAATTGGGAAATTATTTTGATTTATTTCTCTTATATTACTAAATTATTATTATTTAACAATTCCATTTACTTTATATATTATTGTTGGGATCTATTCTCGTGGGAATACTTAGTTTATCACTATTGCACAAACCCCAAGTTATAATTAATCATAAAATAATGTAATTATTTGATCAAATATTAGAAGCAAATTACTGGAAATTTGACACCAAAAGGTGCAGTTCCATGCATGAATCATGCATGAATTACAGTTGGAAACAAAGAATAGAGAAGATTAATCCCAACTATCTATTCTAAGGTTAATGTTTCATCGCCACCTTTCGAAATATGGCTACAATAAATATTTGATAGAAAATTAAATAAATCTTTTTTCCAAAGGGTATGCGTCGATGTGTAACTGAATTTGATAATATTTGGCGATGGAACAAAATTTATGACTTCCCTTCTTACAATCATAAAACTCAATTTGATATTTGATCGTATATGAAAAGAAGTTGACAAATCATGATACCATGTGTCTAGTGGGACTCCATGCAAGCATCCACTTAGATGTCATTGGTTTGTACTACGAAAGTTCGAGACACGAGTTAGTTATCAAACATAGTTTTAATAATAATATGATGTTTTTAGGTTTACACTGAGGTTTACGATTTTTGTTTCCAAATATATCATTAATGTCTTTGAATTTCACATTATAAATATAGCTTTGGACCGGAACTCTAAAGCCTCAAATCGTCTCTTTAGTCTTAACAAAAGAACTAGAGAGAAAAGAAATGGGTAACCATGGAGTTTTCTTCGTTCTTCTCCTTTCATGCTTCGTGTTTTCATCTGGTAAGTTTTTGATTCTTAAGATTCTTTATTTACATACACATATTTAGTTAAATATTGGATTTTGATCCGATTGTTTTTTTAAGGATTTGGAGTTGAAGCAGTGATGGGAGATATGTCAATGAAGGTACTCCCAAATTGTATTATTTATTATCTAAAATAATTTAGAACTAACTTAGTTATATGATCCGCTAAAAGCAATTGAAATCAACCATTTTTGTTTGTTCTAAGTAAACACTACCATTTTTTTTATAGAAATTTTAGGAACATACTAATATATTGTTATGTTGGAGCTAAAATGAACTTTTGTGTGTTTGTTGGTAGGGAAAGGAAGTATATTCGAGGAAGATGAAGATGGAAGCATTTAATTCTTTTGTTATTCCTTTTGACTCTGTTATTCCTCCTGTTCCTCCTCCCAAAGTTCTACCGGTTGACTCTGTTGTTTCTCCATCCAAAGTACCATATGTTAATCATGTTGCTCCTCCATCCAAAGTACCATCTGTCAACTCTGTGGTTCCTCCACCGAAAGTTCCATCTGTCAACTCTGTGGTTCCTCCACCGAAAGTTCCATCTGTCAACTCTATACCTCCACCCGGAGAACAATCTGTCAACTCTATTCCTCCACCCGGAGAACAATCTGTCAACTCTATACCTCCACCCGGAGAACAATCTGTCAACTCTATTCCTCCACCCGGAGAACAATCTGTCAACTCTGTGCCTCCACCCAGAGTACAATCTGTCAACTCTGTGCCTCCACCCGGAGAACAATCTGTCAACTCTGTGCCTCCACCCAGAGTACAATCTGTCAACTCTGTGCCTCCACCCAGAGTACAATCTGTCAACTCTGTGCCTCCACCTAGAGTATAATCTGTCAACTATGTGTCCTCTACCGAAAATTCCATCTGTCAACTCTGTAGTTCCTCCACCAAAAGTATCATCTATCAACTCTGTACCTCCACCCAAAGTATCATCTGTCAACTCTGTACCTCCTCCCAAAGTTCCATCTGTCAACTCCGTTGTTCCTCCTCCCAAAGTTCCACTTGTCAACTCCGTTGTCCCTCCACCCAAAGTTCCATCTGTCGACTCCGTAGTTCCTCCACCCAAAGTACTATCTTTCTAAGTCACATGTAAAACTTTAATCTTTTTAAGTATGTAATCAAGATGCATGTGGAAAAGAAAATTATGCGTATGAACTCTCTCTAAGTTACCGTTTTTATGCTTCTCTCTCTTTAGTGTACAACTCTAATCCATGCCTATGAATCAAGTCAAGTTGATCAACTGATACAATGTCGGACATGTCGTCCTCTCTCATTTCCAACCAACTTTCCTTCGAAAATAAAACACAATGGTATGGAAAATGTATGATAAACCCATAAAACAAAAAATAACAACAACGTTGTTAAATAACCTAAAGTTGGTCACATTTGAATACAAGTATTAAAATGTCAATATAGTTATAGCCTAGCTTTAAATGCAACCATATAAAATTGGAAAATTATTTTGATTTATTTCTCTTATTTCACTAAATTATTATTATTTAACAATTCCATTTACTTTATATATTATTGTTGGGATGTGATCTATACTCGTGCGAATGCTTAGTTTATTAATATTGCACAAAGCCCAAGTTATAACTAGTCATAAAATAATGTAATTACTTGATCGAATATTAGAAGCAAATTACCGGAAATCTGACAGCAAAAGGTACAATTCCATGCATGAATTACACTTGGGAGTTAGAATATGATATGAGAAACGAAGAACAGAGAAAAAATTATTATTGAGATTCATGAAGAGGGCGGCAGAGGAGGAGAAGAAGGGGGAGTGAGATAGCCACTTCTTGTATTGGTATTTGGGCCTGGATCTGCATAGTCCATCACTTCCATCATCACTTTCCTGGGTTTGCCCCCACTCTTCTGCCAACACAAACCCCTTCGTTAATTAACCAATAGCTTCCAAAAACTCCATTTCTAGGCTTCCAAAAAGCTTACCTTTTGTGATGAACTGGTATCATAGCCGGCATGTGCCGCTGCTTCCATCGCTCCCACGCCAAATCCTGAAGAAAAAATGAAGAACTATGAGAATCGAGGGAGTGAACATAGAAGAAAAATATGGGAAATTGCGTTGAGTACCAAGAATGATGAAGAGAAGGAGAAGAATTGGGAAGATTTTAGGCATTATTTTAGAGAGAGGGAGAGAGTTGTGAAGGGAAGGTAAAAGGAAGGTATGAGGAGTGTTCAGATCCAGAGGAATTTAATGAGAGGATAAGATTTTATTTTATTATTTTATTTTATTTTCCTCCTAAAATAAAGCCCTTCAAATCTAACTTAAAAGATATAAAAAATAACAAAATAGAAATAATTTATATCCTTTCAACTTTATTAACCTTTAATAAAATATCTAAGATCAAATCCTAATTTAACCTATAATAAAATATTTGGTGGTTAGAACATAATTTCATTAACTATTTTTATAATACACGTATTCATTAATAAAGTATATAAAATGGATAAAAATGCCCACGTGGCATTTGGGCTCAAACCACCCGAATAAGCCCATTTCCATATAAGTTAAAATCCAAGCCCACCTATGAAAATTAGGTCAAGCAAGTGAATATGGGCTTCGGCCCAACCAGAACTCGTTTTTATTTTATTCATAATAAAAAATTAAAAAAAGAAAGAAAATGCTGTTTAGATCTAAAAAAAAGAGAGAGAGAATTATTTTTCAATGTCATAATAAAAAAATTTGAAACCTTGAGGCAATGCCCAATTCCCATTTTGACCCAAAGACTTCAAAGTCAACGTTTGGTAGTTTTCAGGTCAGTGATTTTTTCTTTCTTTTCATGAACAACGGCAATGGCATTGCGTTTGGGTTTTGAATTTTGATTTGTCCATTTGTGGTACAAACGCGGTTTGAATATCTACCAAATTAATTTTTTATTTTTTTTTGTTCATTTTTTGAGAATTTATATATATATATATTGACAAAAAAAAAAAAAAGGTCAAATTTCAATTATAAATAAAATAAAAATAGTATCTAATCATTAGTTAATTCTATTGTTTAAAAATTAAAAGTATATTCTATTATATTATTTTAATCGAGTAAGAAACAAAACACTTTAATTAACATCCATCCATCAAATTATTACTTCCATAAATGGAAACTAAATTTTTAAAAAAATTCCAAAAATCTTTTAAAGTTGGGATTGTTTTAAGTTTTAATTAATATTATATTAGTAAATTAGGTTAATTTAAAAAAAGAAAAGAAAAAGGTGTGGGCCAGGCCCATGGAGTGTCCCACCAAATCATTTCCACATCATGGAAGGAGAAATCCAAAGCCCATAAGGAAGAAGTAGCCCACGTAAGCTTCCTTCATCCTCTGACTTCCCGATTGCCATTTCCTAAATTCTTCAACTGATTTCTCTTTCTTTTTCCACAGGAGATGTGGCTTTCAAGCTTCAAATCACGCTCTCTCCACTATTTTCTTCTTCTTTTTCTGTCTCCACTCTTTTGGCTTTAACCCGTTTCGCCGATTTCTCAATCCCCATTACCTCTTTTTTGGGTTTTAATTGCCGTTTCGATTCGATTGAGGAGTTGGAATTGGTTTAGGCGCCGACAAATTTCTGGGTTTTCTTTTTCATCTGGAATTAATAATACCCTTTTCTCGATTTGGATTTTTCCCTTGAGTTGTTCGATCTGATTCGGGGTCTGAATTGCTGGATTTGATTGATTGATTCTGTGTTTGATTGAATCGGGCAGTTTCGATCGCAGTTCGGTTGGAATTTGATTTGAGATGGTCTATTTCCCATACTCAATCTCGGTCTGCAAGTCCGTTGACCAACCAACCGTCATGGCGAGTTCAGTGAATTTATCCGATCCAAGTTCCAAATCAAGGAACAGGAAGATGACTGTCTCATCGACTTGTTCGAAATTCCCCGTTTGTCATAGGTCTCGATCGGCCGTCATCGATGTTGTGATTTTGATCGCTGTGGTTGGTGCTTGTGGGGTTTTGTTATTCCCCTATATGAAGCTCGTTATCGTTGAATTCCTTGATATTTTCGGCGCGATTCTGTATTTAATGGGGGAGGAAGTCTCTCGTGCTCCTTGGATTTATGGATCCATTGGACTTAGCATTTTCTGTGCTTCATTAGCTGCCTGGGTTGTTTTAATTTGCACGAACAGGAAATGTGGAAATCCTTATTGCAAGGGTCTTCGAAAGGCAGCTGAATTCGATATCCAATTGGAGACAGAGGAGTGTGTGAAGAACTCTAGTCCATTAGTTAAAAATGGAGTGAAGGAAGGGCTGTTTGAATTGCCCCGTGATCATCACCGCGAATTAGAAGCTGAACTTAAGAAGATGGCACCTCCTAATGGAAGAGCTGTGCTCATATTTCGAGCTAGATGTGGCTGTTCTGTTGGTCGATTGGAAGTTCCTGGGCCTAGGAAGCAGCTGAAGAAGATCAAGAAATAGTAGCATCTATAATATTGCTTGAAGCATATAGATAGGATAATCATCACAGGTATACAAAATATGCTGAGAAGATTTTTCTTACTCTTGTGGAAAATCATGTCTCTAAATAAGCTCATGGCAGACAGGTGTAAGGAACATATACAGTTTTTAATTAGGGAATATACAACCCTTATTGCATCACCTTCATATGTTCTTCTAGATCTATATTTCTTAGTATGATTTAATTACACTTTCAGGGAAATATATGCATGTTAGTACAGATCAACATAGTATATTACCTTAAAGATTATTAGTTAAATGCAAGCTTGAAATTCTGGTGTTCACTGAACTGAAATTTCTTGTCATTTATGCCTGCTGTCTTGTGAAAAGCTGTAATCTTTTTGGTTTTGATGCCAATCAGATTCTACATCTTAGTTCACAAGAAGCTGTTTATATATAATATTATTTGTAGATTTGATGGTGCTGAAACGGCTGGAGAAGCTTTTGTTTTCTGCTATAATATTATTAAACTAACTACTTTCAGATCTATCTTCTGTGATGAATTTTGATTGCTATGCATCTGAATAGATATGAAACTTAATGGCATTGTAACGGTTCAAGCCCATCACTAATAGATATTGTTTTCTTTGGGGTTTCCTTTTCGAGCTTCCCCTCTGCTAGGTAGAGGTTTCCACATCTTTATAAAGAATGTTTCGTTCTTCTCCCCAGCCAATGTAGGATCTCATAGTGATCTTGAAACTAACTAGAAACAAATCTGAATGGTTGAAAGGTGAAGTAGCGACCCTGAGATGAAAATGGACGAATATTTTTCTGGTGATGTTCTTGGGTGAGCTGCATTCAAGTTAGGTTCAGAAGGCTTTTTCTGCCACCTCTTTTATGGTTAAAGAAGTATTAGTAGTACCCTTGTGTTTGAATTCTCTTAGCTACCCTAAATTCTGTTGTGTTTGGGGAATTAATCTGGGAATGTAGTGCAGCAGGTGTACGAGTTTTCTGGAACTGGATTCCCATCGAGATAAAGATCGCCATGGAAGGGATTGTCGTGTAGTATTAGACTCGACACGAGAAGCAAGGAAACAGAGATTTGAATTCCTATTTTCACCTAAGATTATAGGTTGAAGAAAATGAATGAAAAGGAAGGTTTCTGAAGTGTTGGAATCAGAGAATCAGATTTTGTTCCATGGAATGGATACTCCATATGCTAGAAGTAGGATCAAAAGAAAAATATGTGGCACTTGCTAACCCAGATGGCAGATGTATTGCAAACCAAGAAAAAAGATAACATCAAATTACACATTATTCTTTGATGATAATGTTTAGGTAAAGATGCACTTAGACTAAGTGTCTAAACCTTACTAAACGATTCGATTCGATATGTTACAAATCTTAATAGAATGTGAGATCCCACGTCAGAGGAGCAAAGCATTTTTTTATAAAAGTATGGAAACTTATATGTAGATTTTTTTTAAGGGTGTGGAAACTTATACACCGAAACTCTGTCTTTCTCCAAACACCCTCTTTGGCTCTGCCTATGAATTAGCTATTTACCGGTCTTTCACAACGAGATCTACCTATACAGTAACGATATTGGCTAATGGATAAGCATTTGCTACCCATGGAGGAAGGATTTCCTCTTCTCTAATGGATAAGCATTTGTTACCGTGGTAGAATTCAACTTTTTTCACTTTTCTAACATTGCATTTTTATTAAATAAACATGAATTTTAAATTGTGTTTTTTAAGCTTCATTTAATAACTATTTTATTTTTTTGTAATGCAACCTCTGTATTAAATGTTATTAAATTTAGGAGTTAAAAGATGAGCGTTGAATTAAAATTATAAAAGAAAAAAGAAATTAATGGTTAAAATGCAAAACCTAAAACCCCGGGTTGGTTATTGCGAAGAGGATGAACGACCGACAAAAAAGAAACCGGCGGTGGCGGAGTACTCGATGTTGATGCTCCCTCTTGAATCCACATCCCGTCTTCTTTCTCTCTGCCATTGTTTCTCCGGAGGATGAACCCACTCCGAATCTACTACTACTGCACGTTCATCTTTTCAATCAACCGTCTTCTAATTCATCCAATTTCAGGACATCCTTTAGCTTCCTAATCTCTCCAGGTAACTTCCCCACCCCCGCCATTCCGACTTGACGCATCTCTTTCGATTTATCAGCCATGGAAGTCCCTCTCTATCAAAACTATGTTCATGATCACCTTCGACGTACTTCCCTCTCCAGCTCTACTTCCTACTTCTCCCATCATTTCTCCGGTTCCGAGCTTTTTCGGGACAGATCTTTGCTGTCTGCGTATTCTTTGTGGTCCAATAGAAGAAAATTGCGTAATTCGTTTTGTTGGGTCAAGTGCTCTTCCTTGGAACAAGGGCTACGGCCACGACTCAAACCCAAGCCTTCGAAAGTCGATCGCGACGTTCGTAAAGGAACGCCTTCGAAGGAGACCCGAATTACAAAATCCAGTGTACGGATCTGTTGCCATATTGAGAAGTTGGTTCTGTGTAATAAGTTCAGAGATGCACTTGAGATGTTTGAAATTCTTGAGCTGGAGGGTGGTTATGATGTTGGTAATAGCACATTTGATGCGTTGATTATTGCGTGTATTGGCTTGAAATCTATAAGAGGGGCGAAGAGGTTGTGTGCTTACATGATTGATAATGGAATTGAGCCTGATCAATATATTATGAACAGGATTCTACTTATGCATGTGAGATGTGGGATGATGATTGATGCTTCTAAATTGTTCGATGAAATGCCCGAGAGGAATGCGGTTTCGTGGAATACCATAATTTCCGGGTATGTAGACTCTGGAAATTATAAAGAAGCGTTTAGGTTGTTCATTATGATGTGGGAAGAGTATCCTGGTTGCAGCCCTCGCACCTTTGCCACAGTGATACGGGCATCGGCTGGTTTGGAACTTATTTTTCCTGGTAAGCAATTACACTCGTGTGCAGTAAAGGCAGGCGTAGGACAGGACATTTTTGTTTCCTGTGCGTTGATTGACATGTACAGCAAGTGTGGAGGCCTTGAAGACGCTCATTGTGTCTTTGATGAGATGCCCGACAAGACAATAGTTGGATGGAATTCAATTATAGCTGGTTACGCACTCCATGGCCACAGTGAAGAAGCTCTGAATCTATATTTTCAGATGCGTGACTCTGGAGTTAAAATCGACCATTTCACCTTTTCGATAATTATAAGGATATGTTCGAGATTGGCCTCGGTAACACGCGCTAAGCAAGCGCACGCGAGTTTAGTTCGTAATGGTTTTGGGTTAGATGTAGTAGCTAATACAGCACTTGTGGATTTCTATAGCAAATGGGGAAAGGTAGATGATGCTAGACATATTTTTGACAGAATGTCCTGTAAAAACTTGATATCATGGAATGCTTTGATAGCTGGATATGGGAATCACGGTCGAGGGGAGGAGGCCATTGAGATATTTGAGAGAATGCTTCGGGAAGGCATGGTACCAAACCATGTGACATTTCTTGCTGTTCTATCTGCATGCAGCATTTCAGGTTTATTCGAACGTGGATGGGAAATTTTTCAATCAATGACTAGGGATCATAAGATCAAACTGCGCGCTATGCATTACACGTGCATGATTGAATTGCTAGGTCGAGAAGGGCTCCTAGATGAAGCCTATGCCCTTATAAGGAAAGCTCCGTTTCAACCAACAGCAAATATGTGGGCTGCCTTGCTTAGAGCTTGTAGAGTTCATGAAAATCTAGAACTTGGAAAATATGCAGCTGAAAAACTTTACGGGATGGAACCCGAGAAGCTTCGTAATTATATAGTGCTTTTAAACATATATAAAAGCTCTGGCAAGTTAAAGGAAGCAGCTGATGTTGTTCGGACATTGAAACGAAAGGGCTTGAGTATGCTTCCAGCATGTAGTTGGATTGAAGTTAAACATCAACCCCACGCATTCCTCTCTGGGGATAAACACCATCCCGAAATAGAAAAAGTCGTCGAAAAAGTGGACGAGTTAATGTTAGAGATCTCAAAGCTTGGTTATGTTCCTGAACAGAACATCTTGCTTCCAGATGTAGATCATGAAGAAAAGATACAGATATACCACAGTGAGAAATTGGCCATAGCTTATGGACTTATCAATACTTTAAAACAAACGCCATTACAAATTGTGCAGGGCCATCGCGTTTGTGGTGACTGCCATTCTGTGATTAAGCTGATTGCTATGATAACCAAACGTGAAATTGTGGTGAGAGATGCTAGCAGATTCCACCATTTCAGAGATGGGAGGTGTTCTTGTGGGGACTATTGGTGATTAAGGTAAACCCATATTGTTCTTTATTTGTTTAATTTTGTAGAAACGGGCAGCATCTCTTCCATTGATATATACTATTGTACATTCTTTTTCAAGGAGCTTATAATGAAATGAATTCGTGACATTCTGTTCTTAACAGTAGGCTGATTGTTGGCATGTATTGTCATAAGATAATCTATCATTCTGTTCATATCAACAAACCACCATTTAAAGACTTCATTTTCGTAGGATGGATAGAGAATTCTTAGAGCTTTTAAATCTTAGATAGATGGGTTTTGTGAAATTTGAACCTGGATAATTTGGATGGAGGACGAATCTCCTCTGAGGACATGAAAGAACAGAAACGAAGAGGGTTTTTCATTATAAATCAAACCAACCTCATGAATTGATTCATTATTTACAACTTCAAAGCTTGCCAAATCCCAAACGAAACATAGGAAGAAGGAAAATTAAGGGTATTGCAGTGGAGGAAGAAGGTGGCCATGGCCACAAGGTGAGAAGATGAGGTGACTCGATGACGATGATGAGGTGAGGGCTTTGGCACCACCGGCGTCCGGCGGGCTATGAAGCCGGTGCCATAATGATCGGTGCATTGGGAAACGCGGGAAGTCTACGCTTTACTTTATACACTTAATATATATATATTTATTTTATTTTCAATATTTTGTTATTATTAAACTATTAATGTCAGCTATTTTATTTTTTAACAAAATTAATAGTCATATTTATTAATGATAAAAATATCAGGAATTTGAAATATATGTATATATATATATATGAGTTTAAAACTATTAAACCAATGAATATATTTACCAAATAAATATTTTATTTAATATAATTAATAGGGTTAATTGTTAACCCTATGAAGAAGACCTTTTAACTCTATATATCAAATGGAGGGAGAGAAGTGGCATGCACAAGATCCATTAACCGTTATTAAGTATTCTACAATATTGGAGAGGCGGGCTGGTTTGGAATGATTTTCGAGTACAATATTGGAGAGGCGGGCTGGTTTGGAATGATTTTCGAGTACGATAAGAAGACTCGTCAAATATACTAGATAGCGATGACATAAAAGAGTTAGTAGTATAAAGGAAATGTTATTAGTACAAATTCTTTCTTTATGTCAACAATATCCAATAAGGTTAAAAATGTTAATGGTAAATAAAAAATTGAGAGTTAATAAACCGGTGTGCATGAAATAAAGAACCGCAATGGCGGTTCAGTTGGACCCATTGCGTAGCATTCACAAAGAATATAAGATGAAATTGCGCAATAAACGTAATGTGTGACTGAAAAGGCAGAGGCAAAGAAGAAGGGGGGTAGAAAGAGAATCGAGAGAGAGAGGTTCCTTCTCTGTTTTCGCGTTGAGGTCTGGATTCTTCTTCCGCTTCTTGCCTCCTCGACAATCAAGACTTCCATTTCTTCTCCCTCCGTTTCTTGCAGATGAATCGCTTCGATATCTTCCAGATTTATCATCAATACTGTGGTAACAACTTCCTCCTCTTCCCCTACCGCTTCAAATTTCAGATTCTGCCTTTTTCTCTTGATTCTTGTCTGATGTCTCTTTTATTCATCATTTGCTACTGCCAATTCTCACCGAACATTGCTTTTGTTAAACCTTTCAAATCTTTCAATGTTTTCTGCCCTTTCACTATCTGTTGCAATACTTTTCTCTTCTTAGGATTTTTGGTGTTTTTCATGCAAATCTATGTCTTTGTCTTCTCGCGGATGCATGTTAACTTGGAAGATGTAATTTTGTTATAGATTTTGATGTTATATATATATATATATATATATATATATTTATCTTTCTAAAGATGGTTAGTTTCTAAGTGATTTTTTATGTTTAAGAAGTTATGATGTATTTGATTCGGAGAAGTCTGGGTGATTTTATTTTTGGGAACTGCATTAATAGTTTGGATGATAAAGAACGTTAGAAATTCAGTTTATGGTACTTATTTCGGAAAATAAGATGCATCAGGCTCAATGTCAATGTTATTTTCTGGTCAGTCAACTTAGAGAATTTGAATGAATTTTATTCTTCCAAATGAGAAAGCCCTGTCATTATTTAGGAGGGATAATCCAAGAATTAGTAATTATTGTATTATGATTTCTGATTCCACTGCAGCCCTTTAGGGGGAGAAGCTATAGACTTACCTAATTATTTCAGATCGATAAAATTTACATTATTTTTACTTACTTGTTTATAGGTATTCGATCTCAAAATGGTCTTTGTCATGGGAATGGAGGTTTTGGACATGTTGAACCACAAATGGCCAAAAGTCCAAAGCAAGCACTTGCAGAGCTCTTAATATATGTGCAATCGTCACTGCATACGGGGTATATCCACTTTGTTTTATACAACTCAATATTTCTTGTCCTTCCAAACTAAGACATTTTCTAAACATTTTTAACCAACAGACATATGAAACTAAGATAGTTTATCAACTCAATTATTAAACTAAGATGACTTTTAATATTGTAGACATGGATGTTTACTAGTTTGATTTCATTAGTTATGGTATGGTCCTGTGTTTTCTAGCAGTTCAATAAATGGAATATTACATGGAAAAAAGTTGACTTAGCTGCCTAAATACGACTTGATAAATGAGGCCATCATACGTTGTTTTCATTGCAGTATAATTTTTTTTTCTTATATTAATCTAGGTTATCTAAAAAGTATAAATTACATTTGCAGTAACTCAATCCTTCATGAACTATCAAAGCTGATGTCATATCTAAACTTGATGGTAAACCCTTCCTTCCTATCATTTTTCCTGGTTTCCTACTGTAATCTAGTTTCTTTTAATTTGGCAAGCTTTTGGGTATTGGCTGGTGGCAATATTATATTTTCAGTAAGATTCATAGTGTTTTATTCATGTGCTTCAGTTAACTTTAAGAATTTTGATTGAAAATTTTTCTGGTTTGTACTTTGAATTTGACAATTCTATTTTGTAGGTAGACTTCTCTGAATTTTCACGCTTCTATGAGTTTGTTTTCTTTGTGTGCCGAGAAAATGGTCAAAAGAATATCAGTAAGGTTCCTTCTTTTGGCTTGGATATAAAACTATGTTTTAGTTTCCTAATATGAATGATATCATGACATGTGCACTGGGTAAGTTAAAAAATTTCTTACTTTCTGATAGTTTAGTTTTTCTTCTTTTATTTGAATTACAGCCGTTGGTAGGGCAATTAAAGCATGGAGATTAGTTTTGGATGGGAGATTTCGGTTACTTAATCAATGGTGTGACTTTGTTGAGGTACCATTTTCCCCCTTTTTTCTTCTCCTAATAAGGTCCCGTTTCCTTTCTTTCTTTTCACTTTGGTTGTAATGTAGTCTACAAGCTTTAAATAAAATGTATAATGATCATAATCAGGAAACCGGAATTTCCACCTGAAGTTGTTTTCATCAACGTTGGTTTATGAAATATACCTACATGCTAAATACCCATGAACGGACATTTCTATCAATGTTATTATTTGCCATTTGTAGACACGTTTGGATGCACATTCATATGTATTTTACAAAATATATGCATGTATCTCAATTTTTGAAGTTAATGAATTTGGGAAATTTTGGGGTTTTTTTTTATACCTAAGATTCTAATCTATCAAATTTCTTCTGTCTAGGTTTATGCATCCAAGTTATTTTTTTGGGTTTTATTCTTTACCTTGTTCCTTGAAATAGACGTGTTGTGGCATATGATCCAACTTATCTCAAGGATTCTAACCTAGTTAAGTTCCACAGAACAATCAGCGACACAATATTTCTGAGGATACATGGCTTCAAGTTTTGGCTTTCAGCCGTTGTGTACATGAAAATCTGGAAGGGTATGATCCTGAAGGTATTTGTATTTACATTTTTTTGTTATCTTTTAAAATATTTATTTGTGTATTAAATACGCTGAATTAAAAATGTTGAAGACTTGGGAATTACTTCAAGTAATCCGTCTCCTTATCTGTTGGAAGTTGGTCCATTGATACAATTGAATCCTATCACAGGGAAAAAGTCGCGGATAAATATATTTTGTCAATTTATGTAAGAAAATATAATACTTTTCATGGTTAATCTTCTGTTTTGGTTCTTCTACGGATGCTTGAAATATTATGACATTGCAAATATTAGTTGATCGTTTTGTTATGCTGGCATAGTATTGTTATTTTGTTTCCTCAAGTGTATGCTTAATGCTTGAAAATGTTTTTGAGGCTTGTGCATTTTTGTTTTTTAAGAAGCACATGCCTCTTCTGCGAGAGTCATACACTGCGATTTGAAGTTCAATAGTTATATGATGGCTGGAAGAATGCATCTAACAGTTGTCTGCATATTCTTCAAATATAAAAGTCCACCTTAGAATGCAATACTATAACAGCTCTGGTTGTGATAATGTAGCCCTTTATTACTTTTATCGCTAAAGCTTAAGAAAGATGCAGAAGACAAAATTTAAAGAATAGATTGATAATACAGAAAACAATTTAAGGAATAGGTTGATCCCGTTAGTGATAGTTATTACTGACGTTAAAAATGAGCTGCATAGTTTTGACTTGAGAAATTATGGATGGATACCTCCCCCCATCCTCCCGGGACTTTTATATAATACGTAGGTCTATTGTTGTTGAATTTAATTTAAATTTGTCTAATTAAATTGAGGATTATGCCTCATTTCTCTTGTAGAGGAAAGAGCCTCAAGACTACCCGTAGTCTTTTGGTGGAATGTTGGGTATGCCTGTACATAAGCATAATGTTTTTCTATTTTTCTCTACTGTACTATTTGGAGGTACTCAGTTGCATTCTTCTCTCAGGTGCTTGGCCCGTCCTAATTGATGACTTCGTCGAGCACATGTACAGGTTTGTTTGTGGGGGATTTTACAGATGCAATGAGTTTGAAGTTGAAAGTAGTTAAATAATTCTGGCTTGGATATAGTCTCGAGTCTGACGTGGTATGGTTTAGTCTTGTACTAACACTCGATAAGCTGATAACATCTAATTATTATGCAGGCTGTCAGGATCTAATAAAATCTCAAAGTTACGTTGTAATTGTGGAGGCTCAGAATCACAGTCAGGTGCATCTGAAGATCCGTTTCCTGGTATAATAGATTACGTTCAACTGTCAAAAGAAAAAAGTACTGTTCTACA